TTATTTTGATATATCACAGTGAAAGATTTATCGTCCTCTTTTTTTTTTTTTTTTTTTTTTTTTTTTTAAAAAAAAAAAAAAAAAAAAAAAAAAAAAAAAAAAAAAAATCAGTCTGTCACACCTCTGTGAATGACATGCCTTCCTATAGCTATCATTTTAAAGATATCCAAGTCTGTATTTATGTTTTATTGATTTGCTTGCTTATTAGTCTTTGTTTCAATAGATCTGGAAAGAAGAAGACAGACATTCTTTTGTGTGGTTACTTTTTGCTAACGAATCACTAATGCTTTTTCTTTGTACTTTTTCAGATTTTGTAAAATTTCCGTAACTTTCCAACATTAAATAATTCCATTAGAGTTACTTCTGTTTCCTTTTGTCACCTCTATTCTCTTCTTTCCATTTCAAGAGAAAAAATGCCAGAAATGTTTCTCCTCCTGACATCTCAGTGTCCTGCACAAGGCCTGTGCTTATGTATTTAGTGAAAGTTTTCTGCTGAATTAACTTTATAGGTGCTTAACCAAATTTCTTTGACAAAAGATTTCATTTCAGACCTGTAATACATGCAAGGGACAGAAAAGAATATGAGGAAAATTTATATAGCAAAGAGATAGACATGAAGATAAATGCTCTGATTTAAAATGCAAATGAGGAGTGAATTATGCATGCCATATTCCTGTCACAGCATTGTTCATTTAAATTTTGTTTACTAGGATGACTGAATGAATGTTAAGTACTTTGATGAAGTAAACATTAGGATTAGGTCACTTTAAATCATGTCAAATACTGGAAGAGATAAAAGGAAACACTATATTGTACATTACTAAAACTAGAAAGACATTATAAATCAAGTAGACTCTTTAGAGATGGGTAAACCTCTTTAAAAGAGAAAGAAATTGTAGAAATATGGCACTTGTCTCTTTTGAGAAGACTCAGAATGAAATAGAACAAATGAGCCATCAGGGCTATCTTGAAATAATGTAATCTGGTAGGTTCTGAATATTCAATGGCAATCAATAATATCAGATTCTAATAAATGGAAGGGACAATATGGAATGGATGCCTATTGGAAGGAGAAGGGTCTAATCATCTCATTTACCTAAGAGAAAGCTGTCCCATCACGATAGGTTATTTTGACAAATTCTTATATCATTCATGGTCCAGTGATTTTTTTCTCTCATTTTAATAAAGAAACAGAATCCTTATGGATGATAATCATTAATCATACAGTAGATAGATGTGGCTCTTTTGCTCATCCTTTTTGAGAAATTTCATTTCTATGCTAAGGAAAATTATTAACATTGATTTATTCTATGGTGTTGATTCAATTATTCTCTATTATGAAAGCATAGGACATACATCGATATTGTCTCCATTTTTCAAATAAGGAACCTGAGGCACATAAGAATTGCATGGCACTATGCTAGGTATGATATCACATATCTGTAATCCCAGCACTTGAGACACTGATGCTAGGGGATCAAGAGCTCATTCAAGGTCAGTCTGGACTTCATAAAAAGATTGTATTATAAACAAACACCAATAAACCACAGTTTTAAAATGTATTTGCAGGACTTTGAACCCATGTAATATAGAAGAAGAGCATCCAACTTTCCATTTTGTTATACAGAATTTGGAGAAACATTTTTATTATCCCACATATGACAAAAAATACCTAGAATTAACTTTACAATTATTCCATAATCTCTATATGTAGAAAGAAATATTAGTTAACAACTGCCTACCACATTGCAGCAGTGGTAGAAACAAAGATCCTGCAGGGACTAGCTTGCTATGAGATCTCTTTAGATAGCCCTTGTTCCAGGCCTTAGGGACAAGGCCAAAGCTAGGTCTGGGTTTTTCCGATGATTAAATGTCCCTCCATCATTGAAAGAGCATTCTGAAAGCAGTAGAGAATATGCTGGATAGTGATTAGTTATTAGATATAGCAGAGAACAAATTCAATGTAGAATCTATTAACATGTCTCAGTTACTGCATATTATGAAAATTTTGTACTGTTGCAATTGAAAGAATCAAGATGAAGTCAAGGGGAATCTTCAAATTCGACAGAGCCTAAAGAATTAGTAGAAAAATAGTATATATTCAAATTTTACTTTCCAATCCTGAAATACTATGAGACATAGCGGAAAGAGCAAAGCTTAGACAAGTCTGTCTGCCTCTCACCAGCCTTGTGACCTTTGGTAGTTCACAGAAAAGACAGCAGTGTCAGTTGTGTAGGTCATCACCCCACCTCCTATACACTTGACAAAATCCATAGTGACAAAACATAGAAGCAGTATTTTTTTCCACAATCCCCAAAGATCACATCATTTGGATAATTTAATTTGATCTTCACCATGGAGAAAATTTGATGCTAATAATCAAAATAGCATTGAGACAAAAGAAAAATGCAGAATTAATCCTTCGCTTAAGTTAAGGGATTGGGTTAGACAGTAGGCAAGACCTCAGTGGAAACTATCATGAGGTGAGAAACAGATGTTAAATAAGGTGTAGGAAGACACTGGGGTGGGGGAGGGGCAAGAAACTGACATGCAGAGGAAGGTAAATGCAGAGCTGTCAGCAACTGATTCTGTTATTTTATTCTTTAGAGAATTTCAAATAACTTTGAGAAAATAGGACACTGTCTCAGAGCAGTGTTAATCAGGTCTCTGTTTTTAAGTTTGGTAATATAATTCTTTGGGGGTTATTTGGGCTTTAAAAGCAACTTTTCTGATGCATATGATTCTTTTATTTTCAAATAGAGACCCATAAGTCATGTTTTCTTTTTTTATGTGTGTGTGTCTGTGTCTGTAGCTGTGTATGGATTGTGTGTGAGTGTGGTCACATGTGCCATGGGATACAAATGTAGGTCAGAGGACAATGTTGTATGTCAGTCCTTATCTTCTAGCTTGGTGAGACATGGTCTCTTGTTCACCACTGCCAAGCTAACCGACTCATAAACTTCCAAGTATGCTCCTGTCTCCCCCTTCCATCTCAGTGGGAGTGCTAGGATTACAGATATGCATGCTACTGTATTTACCTTTACATAGACTCTGGGGACCCAAACTCCAGTCTTCATGGCAACAACTTTCTCCACTTAGTCACCCCCTTCAGCCCCTGACCTATAGTTTAAAGAAGAATTGCACACCAGTTCTTCCAGAAGAACTCCCATTACACAGCATCACTTTGTGGCAGATGGGACAGCTCTATTCTTTTAGGAGGGGTGGTTTGAGGTGGGATTAAAAGTAGAGCATGGAAAGGGCAGAAGTGAGAGAGAGAAACCAGTAGAGGTTTCCAAAGGCTGCCTTGGCAACAGGCAAATAAGCAGTGTGTAAATTTGTGATCACAATTTGATGATACAGTATATGTTTATTGGTCTTTTTGAGGCAGGATCTTCCTGTAGCCCCAGCTGACCTGCCTAACTTTTTTTCTACTCTATCCCCAAATGTTTTGTTCTCTCTCTCTCTCTCTCTCTCTCTCTCTCCCTCTCTCTCTCCTAGTGAAGAGAATAACTTGCTGAAGCATAGACATAGATTTCACAGACAGAGCTCACTTAAAGGGGATTTGGAGAAATGAGATAGGAAAGAGGATGTAATCCTTAAGAAAAACAGTCCAACCAGACACCCAAGATGCCACCATGGATTAGAATGCAGCATTTTTATTGTAAAAGTCCACACGTTAGGTAACTCTCTTGTGAAAAGGTTCACAAGTACATAGAGAGGGAGCAGGTAATAATTAAGAATTATATGATATATAATATATATTTATGCTGCCAATACTATGCACACACTGGAAAGCTAGCTTTTTTAGTGTCCCTATTACAGAACATATTTAAATTGACAATAATATCATGTTTCTTATCATTAAAATTTGCCAACAACTCTCCAAAAGAGTCAACATTGACTGTTTTGACAACTTAAAACAAGAAAATAATTCATTCTATTTACATTTGTCTGAGGTTAAATACTAAAGCACTGGGATATTAAAGGTCTGTAAAGCTGGAAGCTGAATGTTTTCAAGGTTCCTCCAGATGAATTAACGACAATTTTACGTGGTTTGATTTTTTTAAAAGTCACTCTCTTTTATTGTTTTTTTTTATTATCTATAGAGTTACACTAATTATAGTTTAATTTTGACTTAAGCAATGGTTGCCTTAAAGAAGAAAAAATGGCAAAAGAATACTATTTTAGAAAAATAAAGATTCAGGATGATCACATAAAGATAAGGTTCAGCTCATCATGTCTGAAGTCATCTGATTAAGACAGAGCACAATGAGCCTGCAGTCAGAGCTCAGCAACCTCTACGTAAATCACTTATGTATTCTTTCTCAGATTTTGATTTTAATTTAACCTTCAGTACATTTTTTTTCCAAATATAGAATACAACCTGCTGTATACCAGTCATGTATGAATCTTGCTCATACTGTCATAAGTTCACAAGAAGAGTTTTTGATGGGTCAAACTGACTCATAACTAAATCCGAAAAAATAATTAAGAAACTCTATGCTCAAGTCATCAATTCCATACCCATACACATAGGACATAGATGCTACTTTTAAAAAGGAATACAGATTTTCCCAAAATCAAATTATTGAAGATGAACACAATAGCTACAACTCTTCAGATCCTCTGGTTGTTTCTGTAGAATCAGCCATCACTTGACTACACCAATGTGAAAAGATGAATCACTTCTTCCCTGTCATAGCAGAGAGATTCACCAGACCACAAGAAGGTGACTGGCCTCAAACCATGTTTATTAAGCACTGACTATGTACCAGGCACAATGCAAGATGTTGACAAGGATTATGCCCACAAGGCACTCACACCACTAGAAGCAGATCTTGAGATGGAGAGTCAATTCTGTTAAGAACTCTCATCCTAAACGGAAGGCAGTACAACAGCAAGCACATACAATTACTTTAGACTCTAGTTATGAAATCGGGCATATTAAAGCTGACAAATGCCAATTATTCAGCCTAAATTTTGTTTTAATATGTCTTACAAGAAAAACCTAATTAAAAAAACTGAATCTTCATGCATGAAGAAGAATGCAATTAATCCCTTCCTCCAATTTCAGGCACCAATCCTTGTAATTACATTCATGTACTCTTATACCCCCAAAGACACAAAATAAAAGACAGTACTATGTGATGATAACTCTAATCCATTTATTTTGGCTCTAAAGAGATGCATGCATTAAACTTGAAGCAGTCTATATTACTGAAATATTTACAGCATTGTACATATGATGTGCAGGAAATTTTCTTCCTACCTTGGGATAAAGGTATAATAGATTTCTAGTCTAGGCTTTTCTATTGAAAGTGAGTTGTGATTCTTCACAAATGAGGGAGGTATTCTATTTTGTTCCAATTTACTACAACTTAACCTCATCTGAATGTAGGACACAGCTTTATACGGTTTACAGTGAACTGTATAAATGAGTCAAGGACAGCCACCACCAATATAAATAAATGAGGTTTCCACTCTTTCAGTTGCTGAAGCTCAAAATAATCTTGATCCTTCTAACAGTTCTTGCTCTAACTTTACTTTGCCTTGAAGGTTTGAAAGACAGCACACACTGAACTTCAAATTACAGTTATCAAAGGAGAGCTGGGCACAGACAGTATGACACTATACATTTTACCAGGTCAGGACAGAGAGACAAATTCATATCATCGATGACTACGTACGGGATTATTTCAGTGGACTTAGAAAGGACATTTTCTTTCCATGAGATTCAGTGCATAAGACCCCTATCAATAAAACCATACCTCTTCACAGGTAAAGATAGGAGACCCAGTAAACCAGATTGAACAAGCAGAAGGCGGTAGGAAAGAAGATTCTAGCGTAAGAGTCCATTTTGGCAATGCGAATATGTATCCTCCCGTGTCTCCAGGCTCCTGTTCGGCAATCTTCAAAACAACAGAAGAAACTGGCACAGTCCTTGCCGTCCAGACACTCGTACCCGTATTCTTCATCCCTCTCTTGAAGGTGTGTGGCATTGTTCATTTGGATGGTTGCTGATCGGGGGCGGATATCAATGGTAGGGGCCTGAGACAGGGTAGGGAAGGAGGACCAAAGTTAGTTACACTGGATCCAAGCTATACCTTTCCTCCACAAGGTCACCAATGTGATGATGAATCTGAAAATGAGCACTCAGGAGACTGCTATGACATCGTGGTCTACAATGGTAAAAATTGAACTGAGAAGGATAGCACAGTTGCAGATTTCAAAGTTTGAGCTTAAGCAGTGCAGCTGAAAATAATCGTCAAGCTCATAGCTATAGCAAGAATATTAAACACCAAAAGAACTCAAAGTTCAAAGATTTAAATCAAACTACATGAAATCTCATTCTACTATTTATTAGATGTGAAGTTGGTTACATGAAGCTATTTAATGGTACCGCATATGAGTGAAACAGAGAAATAAAAATGCATTGATTTTGAAATCAAATTTTATGTCATGCTTGCTTATAACCAAATAGGAAACCCATTAAATGAAAAAAATGTATTAAATGACTTTAATAGCAAATGCTATTATACATACATAAATACAGATGTTTGTTGATTTCATACCAGAAAGATTTAGCTTATATTTTAAGAGACTACAGTTTGTCTATCATTCACCAAGTTGAGACTTAAAATTTTCATCAATGTTTATATACATTCAAACGAGAATGACAATTTAAAAGATGTTATTACTTATCACATTCTTCATAGACTAAGAGGAGAAGCTAATACCGATTAACTATATATAGTAATTTAATATTTTCTGCTTAATCAATAATAAAAATAAAACTAAAGGGCTTATATTAATTTGACTGCGTTAATTTTCAAATAATATAAATATAAACTCTAGTCTCTAAATCTGCTATGAGAAGAGAATCGAAATCTCATTTTGATATTTCACAGAGTCAAAGGCCAAGTGATTATCTTTGTAGGAAAAGAAGAATATTTCAACTCAGTCTTTTAAAGACAGTTTTATTCATATAAAGTTCTCAAGTATAGTTCAAGATATATAGGGAATAATTTCTTAAATTTCATTTTATTAGTTTTTACAGAGTTATCGTAGTCAGTGAAATTGAATCATATTTACATATGAAGAGAGATGGTCAGATTTGGCTTTGAGTTTATAGAGGGCTTATCACTTAAGATATCTCACTGCCCTTGTGGTTTTGAGCTATGTATAGAATAAAAACCTATGCAAATTATGTCTAGTGCTGAATCAGCTCTAGAGGTCTAGAGAGTGTTCTCCACCTTGAATGTGCCATCTTTGGTAGAATATTTAAATGTCTACTCATAAAAAAAATAAGACACCATATAAAGCGTTAATAGTTAAATTCAGCAGTAGCATGCAGTGAAATTTCCATTCCAAAAACATTATACCTTGAAGGAAAACATCCGAAGAAGCTTTGGATTTGTAGACAGAAAAAGAGAATTGCAATTTTTAATAAAAAAGAAGGGAAAAGAATAAAAGGAGAGAGAAACAAAATAAGATAAATTAAAAATACATTTTGAAACACAGTAAGTAAAATGAACTGAAAATATAAACACAGAGGTGAGTTTTGAACTTGAGATAAGTTATATGCCTAAAGTCTGAAAATGAGATTTTGTAATCGGTAGTCAAATCTTCAACAAATTAACCCACAGTTATGTGACTGCAAAGGGCAATGTTGTTCACGCATGAGGATGCTTCTTACTGAACACTCTCCCTGTAGAGAAATACTAATTTTTTGATTTTCATTAAGGAAGAATCAATATGCGATTCTTGACAGACAGGAGTGAAGGGCACAGTAAAAAAGGAAAATAAAATTTCAGGTTTTCCTTCACCCCCTAGGCTGCTACTGCTTTTGATAAGCAAACAAATTGGCATAAAAGAAAAAAGGGCACAAGGATCTCCAGGAATTCCATTTTCTGGCTTTCTTTAAGCCCTTTCCCATTCTGTCTTCCATTTTTCTTCTGATATTTCCGTGCACCTGGATTAAGGAGTCCAACTGTTTTTAACCCCCACACCAAATCCCCCATTGCCATGACATAGATGCTGGGGAAGGCCAGGAGACTTTTGCTAAAGGACTTTAGGCCTTGCCTGAAAGCCTGCTTCCCATCCTTGTCCCCTGTGAGTATTCGTACGGCCGTCATATTGTGGGGAGAATGAAATAGAGAGTGAAGAAGAGGGAGCAAACAGACAAAAACTACAGCAAGCAAGAAAAATCAAACAAGAAAAGAAAATAAAAAGGAAAGTCAGAGACAGACAAGCAGAGAGGGAAAGGAAAAGCTGCATAAAGCACAATATATTGGGGAAATTGAAAATAAGCATTTTTGTTCTCATTAATGAGTAAGAATAAAGATGCTGTTCTTTTGACTTGCTACAAAGTCTTACACTGAAACAGACTTGTGCCGTTAGGAGGATTTCCTCATGGTTACTGAGGAAAAGTGGGCATGACCCATACCCAGCTAGATTATCCTATAATCTAATCAGCTCATAGTCCATGGTCAGATTGGTAGCTACAGTGATGTCCCTCATGTCTTTTAGAGTAGAAAACTAGGAAAAGCTGCCAATCAAGGAAGGAAGGGCCACTACTTTTGCTCTTCTCTCAGCAGGGAATGAAGCTTTACTTTCATAGAGACTCTTGTAAGCCATACACTGAGTCAGGTAGGTAAATGGGTAGCTACATGCTGTCCTCAGTACCCACAAAAAAAGGACAATAGCTTTGGTAATTTATATTTATGCCTCATCTCTTCTTTTGAGGTTTAGTACAATCAAAAGTCATCTTACCTGTTTCCAAATCAAGATGTCACTGAAAGAAATTTGGTTGGCAACTGCACTTATGATCAGTATCAACTTATGTTTCTATCTACTGAGGTTAAGATTTCTCCTGTAGCTTTTTTGTAACATTTATATGTTTTGGTTGCTTATTTTCATTATAACATTTATTTTTTATAGCAGCCCCATTAGACATTTATGTTTAATATATGATTTTATTTTATAAGAGAAAGCAAAGAAAGAGGAAGTAACTTGCCCAAACAGTACTAAATCATTGGTTTTTAAAACTAAGAGAAACATGGTAGGTATACAATGAATAGAAGTCTTCTTGTAGTACTATATTTATGTTTGTATATACACACACATGCACACACGCACACACACACGCACACACACACACACACAATTTCCAGAGGTGTTATGACCTATAAAGTTCAAGAATCTGAAGCTTCCTAATGGAATACTTTGTGTTTTAATTTAAAAATGATAATTTAAAAGTAGTCTAGTAAGTTGGAAGGAAAGACAGACGTCAATGACATCTACACTAATACCAACTCAAACATGTATACATCACTCACCATGCTTTATCTCCCCAAACTGAAGAAAACAGGAAGTTACGTTTGCATAAAGAGTCTGACTCAGAGAATCTGGGATCCCTCAACTAACAAATGATCATAAACGGACCACATTCTCTTTTCACCTTAGAACACAAAGTGCTGAACCTGTGTGTAGGCAAGCTAACGAAAGCAGATCGCACACAACCAAACAAAACCCAATGATCTTTCCTTAGAAATTTTCAATTGTCCCTGTGAGAAATGATACATACAGGATTTTTCTTCTTTTTGTCTTTGTCCTTGCTTGGTTTCCGATTACTGACAAAATAATGCAGGGTGCCATACTCCACCAGAGCAGAGAAGACAAAGATGAAGCAGACAGATACAAAGAGATCCATGGCTGTGACATAGGAGACCTTGGGCAGAGATTTCCGGGCAATGGTGCTGAGGGTGGTCATGGTCAGGACAGTGGTGATTCCTACACAGGAGAATTAAGAAAATAGGTCATGTGATTGAGTCAGCAAGGCCAGGCCATCATTCTTTTATGACTTCTGACAGACAGCTTCTGTAACTGGAAAGGAGGTGTCACAGGAAAACTGGAATTAGCTCACTCCATACAGAATGTTGTCGGTCTTCTATGTGTCAGTTGTTATCGTAGGCACTGAATGCATTCTGGGAAATATAATAGACATGGTTCTGGATCTTATGTATTCTAGTGAGAAGAGAACAGTATGAATGAAGTAGCAAAGGAAAGCGTGATTTCAGTTTCTGATGGGTGCCATAGAATGTGGCAGGGATGGAGAGAGCATCCTTAAATGGAGTGCTCATGGACAAAATGTCCTTAGAGGCATTGTTACTTAACCTGAAGTTTCAAATGTAAAACAAAACCAACCTTTTTCCTATTAATAAATTAAAGGCAGGCAAAGGAAAGGAAGTTTTGCCAATTTATGAAATCTTAGACTTCCTAGCATCTGTGGAGGGCCAGGGAGATCAAAGTAATGTTGGTACAGCAGAAGTGATATCGTGTGGTGAATGCACTGGGCAGACATTTTCTTTAAATCACAAGGAGAAATCATTCAAAGTTATTGAACAAGAGAAGTGGGGTATAACTGATGTTTCTGGGAAGATTTATACAATGAAAATAACTATCTCAGAAGTGATATAATAACATTCACTGGAAATGTTCTTGTGTGTGTGTGTGTGTGTGTGTGTGTGTGTGTGTGCGTGTGTATGTGGCACTATCATAAGCATACTGTGTCTATTTTTCATCCTATCTTCAGAACAAAGCTTCCAATTCTGGCTTTCTAAACAAAGGAAATGAGGCTAAAGGGCCAACCACATCCCACACAGTAAAAAGTAGAAGGATTTGAAAAAAGGAAATGAAATGCAAAATTTTAAGAGTCTTCTTTTACTTGTTGTTCAATAGTACCCAAGCAAACTAGTCGTGCCCTCACCCCACTGGTTGCTTCGTGACAAGGAAAAATTAAGACAACCCTAATGCATCAAACAAGGAAGGGACGGGGATTCATCTGCAAAATATATGTTGTGTGTAAAATGGGAATATGGATTCAGAATTCTGTTAGGTTCTAGTCCTTGCTATAAAAAATCATCTTAACAATTGAGGACTTGGTTACTCGTTTGTGTGTGTGTGTGTGTGTGTGTGTGTGTGTGTGTGTGTGCTTCTGTATGTTTGTACATGTGCCACAGTACACAGGCAGAGGTCAGAGGACAACATCCTGTGTTGATCCTCACACGGAGACCTTATTTGAGACAGGGTCACCTTAGTTTTCCACCACATATACCAGGATGGCTAACCTGTAACTTCCTGGCAGTATCCTGTCTCTGTCTTCCACCTTGCTGTTGGAATACTCTGATCATAGATGCATGTTACTTTGTCCAGCTTTTATGTGGTTCTAGATCTGAATATAGGTCCTCATGATTGGATCGCAAATATTTTAGCTACTGAGCCGTATCTCCAGCCCCTATTCAATCTTTTAAACCCTTTGACGACATAGAATTCTATGATACTAACTGCCTTTCCTATAATGACTGGAGGCATCTTTATGTACTGCAAAAGCAATAGTTCTATACCATCACCAGCTTTGTGCCTTTATTTTTCACGGGCAAGCTCACCCCCCCCCCGCAAATATTCCATTACTTAATGACATGCAAGGAGTCAGGTGTGGTGGTTAATATCTGTAAATTTCAGCACTTAGAGAAGGGAAAGTTGGAGGATTATGAGTTCCTGGGCCGTCTGAGCTACATAAGACACCCTGACTCAAAAAAGTTAATAATGATATACAATGAACATCAATTCTGCACACGTGACTTGTAGGATTAAATGTGATTCCCCTCACTCAAATGGAGGTGCTGAGTCAACTCAAAGGAACCAGCCATAGCAAGTTGGAAAGCGCAGGAGAAGGAAGATACAGAGAAGAATAGCAGCATCATATGAAAAAAGAGCAAAAGCAATTCTCTCTCAGGTGTGGGTTTTAGAAGATGAACGAGAAATGATAAAACTTTTGAGGATACGTTAAGAAAAGATGAAATTTGTAACATTTATTTCTACTCCCTTGTTTATATTCATTGCCACAGAGTTTAGCTATTTCAAGGACCACATGGCTTTCCTGGGTCATTTCATCTTAGCATACCATCACAGTTTCCTAGTGTTATGAAATCACACAGAGGGGTAAAACCAATGTTTAGTTAAAAGAACTTCAGGCTTCAGTAGAGAGGAGGAGTGGTTGAAGGGACTAAGGTTGTAAATACCATACTCAATACTAGGCTGCTTCTGACTGTTAAAGAATCCATCTACCTTTCTAGTCTCTGTGCTCTGTGATAAGAGGCATCCAGGATGATTACCTTTGTAACCTCATAGTTGAGCATAATACTAGAAGTCAATAAATATTTGTTGAATGTTGATGTGAAATAATGAATGAATGAGGGCTGGAGAAATGGTTCAACGGTTAAGAGCACTGAGGGGGGATTGTTAGAGTAGCAAAAAGCCCCATTAAAAAAAAATACAAGAAGTTGTTAGGAAAAAGTGATGGGGAGATACTGGAGGAGTTGGAAGGGAGGGAGTGGGCATGGATTTGATCAAAACACCTTACATGCATGTATGAAATTCTCAATAAAGTTTAAAAAAAAACTGATAACAGATACTAACAGGCGTGGTGGTGCACGCCTTTAATCCCAGCACTTGGGAGGCAGAGGCAGGCGGATCTCTGTGAGTTCAAGGCCAGCCTAGTCTACGTAGTGAGTTCCAGGACAGCTGGTGTTACAGGGAGACCCTGTCTCAAAAACATAAAAAAAAAAATAAAAAAAAAAAAAAAAAAAAAAAAAAAAGAGCACTGGCTGCTCTTGCAGAGGTCTTCAGTTCAGTTCCCAGAACCCACATGGCAGCAAGCAACTGCTCTCATCTCCAGTTCCAGGGTAATCCGATTAATCCGATGCCCCCTACTGCACTCCATGGGTATTACATTCAGGCAAAAGAGTAAATAAATTTTTAAAAATTTTATTTTATGTGTATGCGTGTATTGCCAGCATGTAGGTAAGTGCACCCGTTTCGTGCAATGCCCGCGAAGTCAGAATAGGCTTTCAGATCCCCTGGGACTGGAATTACCGATAGTTGTTAGCTGCCATGTGGGTGTTGGGATTCTAACCCCTGTCTTCTGTAAGAACAACCAGTGTTCTTAACCGCTGAGCCATCTCTACAAGTAAATAAATTTTAAAAATTAAAGAAATGAATAAACGAATGAGTAATTAAACAGATAAATAATGTATATATGGAAGATTAAAGAGAATCAGCTTATATTTGAATAGGTAAATACATATTTATGATATATAGGAGGTTCATACTTTTGACCAGGTATTCGGCCAATCACATTACATATTATTCAAAAAATCTTCATAATGACCCTTTATGACTGTAAATCTCCTTTCTGAAGGTGGAAAGCCAGTAAAAGGTAGAGATGAGATAATAATGCAAGTAGCCTGACATCAAATGCTTTCCTCTGAACTACATTGTTTTATTCCTCATGAATATAGGGAAATATGCAGAATAAAACACCATGTATTTGGAAGAAATTAAAGACTCCTAATTAAAAGATTGGTGTGGACTTGAGAGTCTTCCTTATTATCCTGAAGGAACCTTAGGAAGATTCATGTTCCTTTTCTAATAAGTGGTGGTAGAGAGTGGGAGAGCACTAGGAAGTTGCCAAAGTTTCTTTGTGATTATTAAATAATGTGCATAGAGTGGACTGTAGAGTAGAACTGAAATGTCCAGGAATTCAAGAGATAACTTATTAGTCTTCACATTGACAGTACTTGGAGATGTTTCACCATTTAGTGATAGGGGAAGAACTTAGGTCATAAGAGGCATGTGTTCTCGAAGGGGATATTGCGATTCTAGCCTCTGACTCTCTCTGTCCCTCTGTCTCTCCCTCCCTTCCTCTCATCTGCCATCAAATAAACATACCTCCTCCTCAGAGGAAGGCTAAGCCATGCTGTCCCATCATGGACCCAAAGCAACAAGACCAAGTCACCACGATCTGAAAACTGTGAAACTTTGAACATCTTGCCTCTTAAAGGGATTTATTTTTGATACTTGTTATAGTCATATAAAACCATACTAACAGAGAGAACTGATGTAGTATATAATCTCAACAAATGTTATATATTGTGTTATTTATTTTGGAGAATAAAGACCTACTTTTTAATCTAAAAAAGAAATTAGTTTCGGCACACATAATTTATATTGAACTTCCTGATTGTACCTAATTGCACCTTCTATTTTTGTAGAGAACTTAAAAACTGACTTGGAAACTTGGCCTTCATTTTCACAATCAGTCCTGAAGCTAAAGTTGACCTATGAAAATGTGAAAATGTCAGTACTGTTGGTAAACATCACAGATGCATTCATTTGAGAAGACCCATTATGTGACATTTTAAGCAAAACAAATTCTGACACATTACTTAAATACTGATTAAGAAATGGGAAAGATGCAATTTAAGACACAAGAGAGTCCATCAGAGTCATGTAATATATAACTTGAGGAGCTGCTTCTTTGCATTTTCAGAGAAGAGAAAAGAAGTAGCATTAAAAAAGAGGGAAATGATGTTTTTACCTGATTCACTAACCAACAGATAGCCTGATGTGTTTTGTAAACTAGTTTGGTAAATGTAGAAATGAGACTTCTCTTACCTTGGAGAGATGAAAACAGAGGCCCATGCTAATTCCTCCAGTAGTTATAGACTACGCATGGACTTTTCAGGGTTGTCAACCCTCAGAATACTTGCGTGGAAAATACCAATTTATTTTTTCATCTTTCCACACATTCTCACTACAGGATGATTAATCCTCCCTGGCTACCGGCTGTGCAGCAGACCATACTCAAGTGTACAAGAAACATTGAGATTTCCTGACTTATCAGTGATCGATAGAAGCACCTACTTGCTCCTTGCTCAAGTCCTCTTCCTCAACATACCTTGATTGTTTCTTTCCAAGTGGTCTGTTGCTTCTGAACAATGATTTAATGAATGATTGAAATGAGCTACAAAAGATATTTTGATCATAGGAATCCAGGCTCCCAAAGAAAGACTGAATGGAATATTTTTGTGGAAAAGGGTGTGTGGGATTATACTAGTGCATTTGTTCTTTCATTTAAAGTTATATAAATTAACTGCATAATTATTGAGGAGGTAGCAAGGTTCTAAGCATTATATCAGAGATGAACAACACATTTATGTTTTTTTTTTTGGGGGGGGAGACGGGTAACAGGCAAGTAATGGCCCTAAAGTGTGAGGTTCAACATATTTTGAATTTGTTTCAACCCATTTCATTAGGCAAGATATTTTAAATGTTGAATAAGATCTGTAACACAAAGCACTGCATATACCAAGGAAAATCAGAATAACTTCATTTCTGAGACAGATTGGAAACTAAATTGGGTTTGGAAGAGGACAGATATGAAAATTATTTCTTTTTTTCCAGTAATCACTTCTGCCCTCAGTTTAATAACCTGGTGCTGATCATTTTGTCAGAAAATGACAGTAACTACCATTTTTGAGGCTTTTCTCTGCCCAGCTTGCTTTGCACAGAATACTTTACCCTAATAAAACCCTTCAAGTTAGGAACAGGAAATGATAATGTGTTTTGCATTTGGGAAAACCATTGATTAGGGAGAATAAAGGGTATTTCACAGTCCTATTTTATGTGTGACTGGAAATAAAGATAGCTAGACTTCATAACATATGTTCTGAGAATCACAAGATTTTGTATCTCCAGCCTGGGAGTAAGTGTGGCATGCAATTCTCAGCTGCACATAGTCAATGAAAGTGAACTGTGATTTGCATTGTATGCTCATGCAATCTGTGAACATAAACTCTAAAGCCCTCCTTGAGTATGTAGATTTGCTCTGATCTGTAGATGTCCTCTCCGTCAAGTGAAGAAAGTGTGTAAAATTCTAAATACCATCATAGCTAAAACATTGAGGAAATTGTAAACAATCTTAAATGCACTTTTTTTCCTCTAGATTTGAGAGGTGTTTTTCCACAATTAATCACTGGATGTCTCTTCTACAAAGAGACAATTTATTTAACTATCATCACAATAATTATGCTTGTTGTAATTAAACAGCAACCAGTGGTTTGCTGGAAAATATATGGCAACTGATTCTGGAAAGAATGAATTCGTGATTGTCATGCTTGCCTCTCCAAGTTACGAATACTTCCGCCTTGGCTGATTTTAATCGAATTATGTGACAATTCGTATACAGAGCTGGGAAAGAGTAAATACTCCTATGGATGACTGTAGAGAGACTCCAGGGCATATTAGTCCCACAGAGAAAAACAAAATTGTGTTGAAATGAAGTTTTGGGTGGGTTTTTGTTTTGCTTCCATGTTTAGTTAAATTTATTTTTAAACATACTAAAGAAAACATTCTGAGGTAATTAAGGAAATAGAACAATCGAACTAGAACCCGGAAGCCCATAAATAAATAACTATATTGACTATCTTTAAAATCATAAAAGACGAATTTCCACTCAATTGCTGCATTCAGAGCCAACCAACTTAGAAAGAGAAATAACACATGCTTATATTGGATACTTATCTTGGGATACCAGCACCCCAGCAGACGTGCCTCACCTAAAGAAGTTCTAGCTGGAACAGCATCCTTATTGATCCAGAAAGACACCCAGGAGAGAACAACGATGAGGGTGCAGGGGATATAGGTCTGGATGGTGAAGTAACCCATTCTTCTGCTGAGATCAAAGTAGACAGACATGACCACGTAGTCACCTGGAACAGAAAAGACATCACTATGGAAGCACTCGCTAAACCCTGTGAAGCTTTCTAATGTGAACATGTGTTCAATTCTCTTGCACATATGCATTGAGAATTTCACATGCAGGCTAAGTTGAAAACTCTTTTCTAAGCACTTCTATTAAAAACAGAAACAAAAGTATATAGCCTGAACTGAATCCTGAATCCTATCTTTTTTTTTTTTTTTTTTTTTTTTTTTTTTTTTAGCAGCAATGGCACTACCAGAGAAGCAGGTACTTTTGAGAATCTTAATCCTATTCCTCTTTCAAATGATTCTTGTTCTTGTCTTCTACTGATATTGCACAAAAATACACAAAGCTTTGTTTGGTGTGGGTAAGGAAATGTAATTTATGAACTAGGCCTATGCTGTCTTCAATATATTCTACATTTTACAACAATGTTGTTTTCTTAACTATAACTATGCAGACCACTTGCACAACATATCTTGATGCTTCAAATGCATAAAATAATATTTTACTCATATTTTATAGTTACTTTTCCATAAAGAGACATTTTCTCATGCTTTACTTGAAGCATTTATTTGTTTCACATCAATTAGGTCAATTTGCAAATATTAAACATTTATGTGACGATCTTTATATCTGTCTTATTGGATTTTACCTGCATGAATCCATGAACAGTGCCTGCTCCCCCTCATCATCATGCAGTCACTAGTTAGCATGGTGCTTTGGTTTAGTTTGCTCAATAGTATTTGTGGGATAAAGGAACAATTCATGTATACATTTATGGAATTTAAATTATTTGTAA